CCAGCCAAGAGGCCGGGGCATACGAGATGGCGAGGAAGGTAACTCCAAGAGAAGATGACAAGCTTTGGGGCTCCACTGCACCCAAGTGGTTCGAGTCGATTGGTGGAGGAGCAGGGCGAGGAAGTTAGTTTAGATTTTGTGTTGATGTTCGTTGATGGTTATTTTTGTTTTATGGTAGATGCCATGTTTATATGTATGCTCATGTATATGCTTATATGCATATGCACACACACACACACACATACAACACACACACACACACACAACACACACACCACACACACACAACACACACACACACACACACACACACACACACACATATATATATATATATATATAATATATCATATATATATATATATATATATATATATATATATATATATATATATATATATATATAATATATATATATATATAATATTATATATATATATATGTTGTGTGTGTGTGTGTGTGTGTGTGTGTGTGTGTGTGTGTGTGTGTGTGTGTGTGTGTGTACGTATATACATTATGGGATATATGATAATAATGGTATCATTAAAATGATAATAATGGTAATAATGGAATAATAGCAATGAATAACATATAACAGTAAACCAAGGAAATAGCGACAACAACAACAACAGACAACAACAATAGCAACACCCACAACGCCCACAGGTACCTGGCATGAAACCTCATAGGCGTCGCGCAGGGCAGGGCGGCGGGCGGCCCGGTCCTCGTCGTGGGCGCCGATTACGACACGGGCGCGCATGGATCGCCGCTGGAGGACAACGGGGCGGGCGTGGCTGTGTTGCTGGAGGTTGCAAGGCTCTTCGTGCAACAGACGGGCGTGGGGGGCGCCTTCGAGCAGCTCGGATCCGTGGTGTTCGTGGCCTTTGATGGGAATACGAAGGAATATGGAAGTTGGGGGGTTGGGGGGTGGGGTGGGGGTTGGGGTGGGTGGGGTTGGTGTTGTGTGTGTTTGTTTTTGTGTTGTTGTGGTGGTGTGTTGTGTGTTTGTTTTTGTGTGTTGTGTGTGTGGGTGTGTTTGTGTGTGTGTTGTTTGTTTGTGTGTGTGTGTGTGTGTTGTGTGTGTTTGTGTGTTGTGTTTGTGTTTGTGTTGTGTGTGTGTGTGTTGTTTGTGGTGTGTTTGTGTATGTGTGTGTGTGTTTTGTGTTGTTTTTGTTGTTTGTGTGTGTTGTTTGTGTGTGTGTGTGTGTAGATAGATAGGTAGGTATTAGTTGGTGGTAAATAGACAAATTGATAGATAGAGAGAGAGAGAGAAACAAAGAGAGAATTAGTCATTTTCAAACATTACTATTATTGTAAATGTGTGTGTATGGGTGAGTGTGGGTGTATGTGAGACGGGTAGGGAGATAGATAGAGAAGATAGATCGACTGAATGAGAAAGAGAGAGAGAGAGGACAGAAAGAGAGAGAAAGCAAGAAGTGAGAACAAAAAACAAAAAAAAAAAAAACATTCAGACATCATATATAAACATATCAGAAAACTCTTACTTATCCCTCCCTCCCCCTTCTCTCCTTGCCCCACCTCCCTTCCCTCTGCTGTTTCCTCCCTCCCGCTACCTTCCTTCCTCCTTCCCCCTCCCTTTCCCCTCCTTCCCCTTTTCCCCCCTTCCTTCCCTACCTCCCTCCTCTTTCCCTTTCCTTCCCTCCTCCTCCTCTTTCCTCCCCTTCCTCCTCCCTCCTTCCCCTTTCTCCTTCCCCTCCTCCCACCCCACAGCCAGCCACCCAGGCAAGCAAGGCTCGTACCACTTTCTGCACCAATGGCTCTGGAATTACCTCGGCCAATCAGCTGATCGCTTCGGCGGCGCCATCATCATCGACTCGATCGCGAGATATAGCGAAGTCGACGATTCGCAGTACGTCTCCGAGGATTTCGTTGCCGTGAGTGGCTGTTTTTTGTTGTTGTTGTTGTTTGTGATTTGAGGAATATTTGCTTGTGGTGGGAGGTGGAGAGATATTTGGGAGAGTGGATATAGATTGTTGTAAAAAGGCAAATGCAAATACGCACACGCACGTGCATACTCATACACACACGCACACGCACACGAACGAGGGCGCTTGAGCGCACACACGCACACGTAATGCTTAACAGTCATGCATTTGTGAAAACTTTTCTTTAGTCCTCTATAGAAATGTCTTCCTATTCTCCGTCTTCTTCTTCTTCTCCTCTTCCTCCTCCTTCTTCTTCCTCTTCTTTTTCTTCTTCTTTTTGCTCTTTTTCCTCTCCTCCTCTTTCTTCTTCTTCCTCTTCATTTTCTTCTTCTTCTTCTCCTTCCTCTTTCTTTCCTCTCCTTCTCTTTCTACTCCTCCTCTCCTCCTTCTTTTTCCTCTCTTATTCTTCCCTTTCTCCTCCTTGCAGGCGTTTCCCGACGCGTCACGTGACATCGCCAAGAACCACAACAGAGCCAACTTTCTCGCCGTCTTTGCGAGAGAGGACAATTCGAGCCATCAACTTGCAAAAGCATTTTCAAAAAATTACGAAAGGGTACGTCAGAAAAATGCACTGTTATATTATCTAATTATCTATTTGTTATTATTATTATTTTTTAAAATTCTTTATTTATTATTTTACTTATCATTTTTAATAAAGGTATGAAGGTTAAAAAATAGGGGGGGGGGGTGTACTATAGAAGTTCCAGTTTTCCTGAGGTTGACATATTGTGACAATAAAGTCATCTTCTACAGATATGATGATAATGCCAATTATAATGGTAATGACTGTGATATTGAACGCTACAGGGAAATATTATCATTATAATACTCATTGCAACGACAACAACTGCAAAACAACCGAAGATGTAATAAATAATAACAATTGCAGGAATATTTCTCGTACGTAAAGACAGTTGTGTTAGTAGCACCTATTTCAATAAAGGAAGAATTGGGGGCCATTCATCTGTTCAAGGAGTAGAAAGAGTAATGGTAATAAATGCAATTATAGTATAAGGAGTACCAGTATTTGCCGTATTTGGAGTGTCAGGAGTAGGACAACTGATGATATAATTTCAATGTAGAGGAATAACCTCAACAAAGAATACCATAATTCCATCAGTAAATGGCTGAGTTCCCTCATTCACAATCGCATCCACCAACAAATAACGGAATAACTAATAAATAAAATAAAATTCATCATTGTATGACACAGTTTATTATACACGGTCCTATCCACCAACGAAAATCCACTTTAAAATATCAATTCCATCAATATATCAAAATTTCCACCTCCGATAGCCAATTTCCATAATTAATAGCACAATTGAATGAGTGACAACAATTTCACCTTTTAACAGCCCATTCCCTCATTACGAGTTTCAATCATTCACAATCATCCACCAACGAATAAATAGCGAAATCCACTCCAATAGCTTTCCATCAGTTAATAGCACAATTCAATGAGTGATCAACCCAAACTTCGCCCTTTTAATTAACAGCCCAATTCTCTCATGACGATCTAACAATCCTATTGACTCCTATATCCCCGCTAACAACCTACACTCTATCACTCCTATTCCCGACGCAGGATACCGCTAACAATCCAATCACTCCTATTACATCTATTCACCCGCAGGGACCGCCGCGCTCGCTTCGTCAGGATACAAGGTTCGCGTGAGACACGGACCCTCTTACCAGGGTTACAGATGTGTCAACACCAGTCGCACTTCCCCTTCTGGTCTTCGTCCCTGACGAGAGGGGAGCCGGTCTCCCCGCGATCCTTCGTGAGGATAAGGGTTGTTTATCTTTTTATTTTTTTATTTTTAATTTATTTTTATTTATTATTATCTATTATCTATCTATCTATCTATCTATCTATCTATCTATCTATCTATCTATCTATCTATCTACTATTATTATTATTTATTTATTTTTTATTTATCTATTTATTAATATTTATATTCTATTTATTTGTTTGTATATTATTTATTATTTTTTGTTTATTTATATTTATTTATTTATTTATTATTTATTTTTTTTATTTATTTATTTATTTATTTATTTATTTATTTATTTATTTATTTATTTATTTTATTTAATTTTTATTTANCCCCCTTGCCACGCCAAAACAAACCACCAACCAACAAACAAACAAACACTCATAAAACAAAACTGAAACCCAACCTTGCCACGCCGCCTCTCCTCCCCCCCCCCTTTAGAACACCGTGACCTAACGTCCTTCTGGAATTTCCACCCCCTCCCTCCGCCCCCTCCTCACCTCGGAGGGTATTTCCCCCCCTCCCCCCTTACCCCCGCCCATCCACCCCCCACCTCCCTGATATGTCCCTCCCTCCCTACCCCTCCCTGATAATATTCCCCCCTCCCCTCCCCCAGCTCCCCGACACTCCATCTGCTCCCTCCTGATAATTTCCCCCCTCCTACCCCTCCCCCTCCCTGATATCCCCCCTCCTCCCCCTCCCTGATATTCCCCCCTCGCCTCCCCCCCTCCCTGATATTCCCCCCTCCCCTCCCCCTCCCTCCCTGATATTCCCCCAATCCCCCCCCCCTCCCTCCCCCGCCCCAATGCCTCTTCCTGAGATTTCCAGTCCCTCTTCTCCTTCTGGGATTAAGGATACGGGCGAGAAGGCGGGCAGGCGAGGCAGAACAAATCCTTGTGCAGACGAAATCCAGAGAGGGAGACAAAAAAATGGCGGGAAGCCTATGGGAGCGGGAAAATCTGGGGGGAAAAGGTCCGGGGAAATCTCCCTAACGCAGCTGCTATGGCGGGGGAAGTTTCTTGTCTTGAGTCGTAGGGAGAGGTAGAGAGAGAGAGGAAAAAGGAAGAGGGGAAAGAAAAGACATGGAGAGAATATACGAACAGAGGGGAGGAAAGACAGAGAAGCCTATGGGGGAGAAGGTCAGGGAAATTCCCCTAATGCATCTGCCAAAACGGGGAAATATCAAGTCTTAAATAATAGGTAGAAAGAGAGAGAGAGAAAGGGAAGATAAGAGAGGAGAAAGAAAAGACACAAACAGAGAGAATATATGAACAGAGAGAAAAAGGATGTCAAATAGCCTATGGAGAAGAAGGGCTGGAGAAAATCCCCTAGCGCAGCCGCCATGAGAGGAGGAGAGAGAGAGGGAAAAAAGAAAGGGTGAATAGGAGGAAGGGAAGGAGAGAAAGAAGAAAGAATAGGAGAGAGGGAGGGAGATAAATGAAACGCGAGGACGAGGAAGAAGAGAAGAAGGGAGGGAGAGGAGGAGGGAGGAAATATCCTGTCTTGAACAATAGGCAGCGTGAGAGAGAGAGGGAAAGAGAAGAGAGAGAGAGAGAAAGGGAAGAGAAGAGAAGGAAAAGACCCAAACAGAGGGAGAAGAAAAGGGAGAGGAGATACATAGAGAGAAAAAGAAACGAAGACCGAAATGCCTTAGGGGAAAAAGTCTGGGGAGAAGGCCCGGAAAAGCCCCTAACGCAACTGCCGCTGTGGGGAAATATCGTCTTGAACAATAGCTACAAATAGAAAAAAAAAGAGAAAGGGGAATAGAAGAGAGGAAAAAGAAACAGACACAGAGAGAGAAGAGAAGAGAGAGGAGATAGACAAACAGAGAGAGAGAAGAAAACCTCGAAAACTCTATGGGGGGGGGGGGAAATCTAGGGAGAAGAACCTGAAAAATCCCCGAACGCACCTTTTGGCGGGAAAATATCAAGTAACAGCAAGTTATTATGAATAAAGTAACAGTATGTAACAATTAATAAAGTAACAGTAAGGAAGAAAGAATAAAAGTAAGTAAGAATGAATAAAGATAATCAATAGCAAACAATGAATAAAGTAAGTAAGAGCGACAAGCGAGTAACAGCGGGAGAGGAGAGCGCCCTCCTGCACCCGATCTCGAAGCTGTCGATCGAGTAACATCTCTTGGCATTTAACTGCGCCGGGAGCTTCAGACCTTATGTAATTGCTCGCTGAATTAGATATGTTCTCGCTCCCTTTCTTTCGCAATAACATTCACTCGCCGACTTGGTGTCGACTGCAGCTATTGGTCTTTCCTGGATACGTTTTAGGCAGATTACGCTCGCGTGACGTCACACCCGGATGGAGAGCAATACTATTAAGGGAATGTCTGCACAGAGAGATAACGAAAATATATATATATTTATATATATGTGTGTGTGTGTGTGTTTATGTTTGTGTGTGTGTTTGTGCTTGTGTGTTTGTGTGTGTGTGTGTGTGTTTGTGTTGTGTGTGTGATGGGTTTGTACGTTTGTGTGTGTGTTGTGTGGTGTGTGTGTGTAGGGTGTGTTTCTGTGTGTTATTGTTGTTGTGTGTGTGTGGTGTGTGTGTGTGTTTGTTTCTGTGTGATTGTGGTGTGGTGTGTATTTTGTTGTGTGTATATTGTGTGTTTTTGTGTGTTGTTATGTGTGTTGTGTGTGTGTGTGTGTGTTGTGTTGCGTGTGTGTTTGTGCTGTGTGTTGTGTTTTGTTATGTTGTGTGGGAAGTTGTGTGTGTTTTGCGTGTGTTTGTGTGTTTATGTGTGTGTGTGTTTGTGGTGTTATTGTGTGTATTGTTGTTTGTTTGTGTGTATTGTTATGTTTGTGTGCATGCCTGTGTGTCGTCGTTTTGTGTCTTTGGTTGTTTGTGGTGTGTATTTGTTTTTGTGATGTGTGTGTGATGTATTTTGTGTGTGTGTTATGTGTGTGTGTTGTGTGTTTTGTGTATGTGTGTGTTATGTGTGTGGGTTTGATGGGTTCAAATCTGTGCTGTGTTTGTGTTTATGTTGTGGTGTAGTGTTTATGCTGTTTGTGTGTGTGTGTTGTGCTTGTATTGTTACTCCGTATGTAGGTGCGATGTGGTGGTTTGTTCCCTCCGGCCGCGTGTCTGTGGGGTGTTGGTTGTGTTATGTATGTTATGTAACATATATATTTCATATGGAAAAGAAGGAAGAGGGAAGGGCAAGGAGTGAGGGAAGATAAAGATAGAACGAAGATAGATAGAAAGGGTGAGCAGAAAGAAACAGAAAACAAGAGATAACCGAAGACAGAGAGAGAGAGGAGAAAATAGTGAGACAGACACACATAGAGAGAGAAGGAGAGAGAGAGACAGACAAAACAGTGAGACAGACAGACAGACAGACACAATAACCCTTCATTCTCTCTCCCGGCCTATCCACCTGTCCGCCGCCAACCCACCCAACCCCACCCACCCACCGACCCCACCCACCCACCCCCCACGCCCCACCCCCCCACCCCCACCCACCACCCACCCCCACCCCACCCCAACTCCAGATTACCCGAAACACTCCGAGAAAATAATTCGCCTTATCGCCCCCCCCCCCACCGTTCTTCAGTCTCTCCCCGCAATCGATGTAACAAGAACAAACATTTCTCTTCCCAATTTTCCCCTATATAGGTATCCGATAACCGGCCTCCGATACCTATGCTATGCCACACCTAAAAGCTTTTGTCAATATTAGCAATATTACAATAGCTGTTTTCGTACGGGGAGGCGACCCCCGGGGGTATGGGCCTCCCTCCCCTCCCCATCCCCCCTCCCCC